CTTAGAAAATGCGAAAAGGATCTTAGAAGATTTGGAGATTGGAGATCTAAAAGTAAAAAATGATAAATAGAGGAGCTATTTATAGAGTTGGCAATGACGGTTCAATATCAGTAGTGGTCGACCATCATCTGACACGCATTTAATGCTTTGGTAACTGAACTGACGGGACATCTATTACGTACATCATGGTCGGGCTCGATGCAAACGTCAGTATATATCTAGTCATGCCGTTGGAAAATCATGTCGTTTCTCGCCACATCCTTCCCGAGAAACGAAGGGACTATCTGTGTATGGTCAAAACCGATTTCGACCTTCGTATGATTAGTCAAGATTGGAACATAATGGACCGACATACGTCTTCATAATATCGAGATGAGATCTGAAGCCAGGAGACCGAGCTCAAGTTTCAAGGACCGATCAAATACCGAGCTCGAAGTCATTATCGAGCTCGGGTTCAAATCGAACTATGACGAGAAGTGATGTTATCGAGCTCAAGAGCCAGAGTCCGATCAATACCGAACCTCGAGTCAATATCGAAATCTAATTCTGAAGATCGACCAATACCAAGTCCGATCAAGATCGAGCTAAGAGACAAGAGCCGTTATAGCCGCACTAAGGGAGAAAATCTCGGTGGCAATTAAGGAAAAGCCAATTAACTAATCCATCATGGGATCCCCACTATATATTTTTTATATCTAAAATAGGGTTTTCTCCACTATAAGAAGAATGACTATCATTTCTGTAAGGAAAAAAAGACATCTACACACTCCCATATTGAAAAGATTATTGGTATCCATATAAAGATTATCCTTTTTCTGGCTTTGGGCATTAATTCGTCTTGCTTGTTCATAAATCGTTTTCCACTCAATCTGGTTTGCATTTCATTTTTTTTACAGTCAATATTCGATATATTTCTACTTACTTTTCCGATTTGTGCCAAGTTATATCACGTATCCTTAGAGTTACGTATATATTCAATTCTATCCGTTTTTCGGGTAAACAATTACAGAAAACAAATGTTTATATAATAAAATTAATAGTTAGAATAAATTAAACTAACAAAAATCAAACATTCAACTCACATTAAGAAATTAACCTAGCATTATGACATCACAATATCAGACTAACATAACACAATCATTTATTTTATTTAATTAAACTAACACTCTAATCAAATTAATACTTATACTCCTAGTAATTAAAGTAACCAGCCGCGGTAGCTAACATTGACTACATAAATCAAAGACTAATTATATAATATCATTATTAGGTTAAAAAAGAGATCTAGAGGAAGCTAACCGGTNTGATCTACAGGAAGCTAACCGGTCGCTGACCATCCACGGTTAGCTAACATTTACTACATAGTTCAAGAGGTTAATTGCTATACATTATATATAATCCACAGAAATATCCTCGCATGTAATAATCATTTTTTTGTAGTGTGCAGTACCCAAAATTATTTATCACAATTATAAATTTCACGATCGCTTTATTTTACTTTGAAGCCATCATTATTTTAATCAAGATATAATGATTCTTTTCATTGTTTTTTATTGCTATTATTGGTGTTGATGATATATCTGCTACTGAAGGAGAGTCTTGGCGTAACTGATAAAGTTACAGCCATGTTACTAGCAGGTCACGGGTTCAAGTCGTGGAAACAGCATCTTGCAGAAATGTAGAGTAAGGCTGCGTGTGGTCCGGACCTTCCCCGGATCTCGCGCATAACGGGAGCTTAGTGCACGGGCTGCCCCTGATATATTTGCTACTGTTGTTGCTATAATTGTTGCAGGAAATGAAATGAACAAAGAGAACTAAGAGAAGTTTTGTGGTCAGGATAAGAAATGAAAGGGATTGATAGAATATGCATCATACAATTGCTGTCTGGATTACTAGATTTTGTCAATTACTTAAATTCGTCAGCTCTTACGAAATTGTCTCCATACATGGGCCACTGATTTCTGCTATAATGACTAACTTTAGGGCAATATCAACAATACTATATAAAAAGGGACATCTGTTTTATAAACTACACTGCCCTGAGTTCTAAGTTCTACAATTCTCTGTTGTTTCAAATGGAGAATCTGAATTTCAACTACTACTACTACTTAGCTGTCTTGCTATGTTTCTTTGTCATTTTATTCAAATACTTGCTTCATCCCAGAAAACGTTTAGCACCTAGTCCTCTGTCTCTTCCAATAATTGGCCACCTTTACCTTATCAAGAATTCCCTACACGAGACCTTAACTTCCTTATCTACAAAATATGGCCCTGTTTTGTATCTCCGGTTCGGCTGTAGAAATTTGCTTGTTGTGTCTTCTCCATCTGCGGTAGAAGAATGCTTCACCAAAAACGATATCATATTTGCAAATCGCCCTCAGAGCATGGCTGGAGATCAGTTTTCCTTCAACTATAAGGCTGTTGTCTGGGCTCCTTACGGCTATCTTTGGAGGGCTCTCCGCCGTCTAACTGTGATCGAGATCTTCTCTTCCAATAGCCTTCAAAAATCTTCTGCACTGCGGAATGAAGAAATTGGAATTCTTATTCGCTCTTTGTTTAAGGCCAGCACTGGTAGTGGGAGCAAAAGAGTTAACTTGAGTCATTGGGTTTTTACTTTTGCGGTCAATGTTATGATGAGAACTGGTACTGGAAAACGTTGTGTAAGTGAAGAAGACATGGGAACAGAAAAGGGGAAACAAATCATTGAAGAGATAAAGGGATTTTTCTTCGCGACCTTGGTAGTTTTGAACGTGTGTGATTTCATGCCAGTTTTGAAATGGTTTGGGTACAAAGGGCTAGAGAAAAGGATGGTCTTAGCGCACCAAAAGAGAAATGAATTCTTGAACAGCTTACTGGACGAATTTCGACAGAAAAAAATAGCTGGTATTTCAGAATCCAGTACTGATAGTATCAATGCGAAGAAGACCACGCTGGTTGAAACTCTCTTGTCTCTGCAGGAATCAGAACCCGAATTCTATACAGATGATCTTATTAAAAGTGTTTTACTGGTATGTTCCCTCGACTATGGCCAAAAGCTGGTCAAAATTTCCTAGGAGTAATTAGTTTGAATCATAAATAGTTCTAATATAAGCATGTTAAATATTTCCTTAGTTTGGATATTTCCTCGTCAAGATGTTATTAAAATTTGCCTTTTCTGTTTGCTACAAACTCCTTATCATAATTTAGGAAATTAAACTTAGTGTATACATCTAGTACTGATCACAAGAATGCCTCTAAACTCACAGATTACTTGATTAGACTTGTGCTTTGTTTGAACACAATTTCTAGCCTAACAAACATGATTTGGTGTTCCAGGTTTTATTTATTGCTGGAACAGAGACAACATCAATGACCATTCAATGGGCGATGCGACTTCTTTTAGCTCATCCTAAGGCATTTACAAAACTGAGAGCTGAGATTGATAGCAAAGTGGAGAACGATCGCTTGCTAAATGAATCAGACATTCCCAAGCTTCCTTATTTATATTGTGTTATAAACGAGACGCTAAGATTGTACCCTCCAGTACCACTTTTGTTGCCTCACTACTCATTAGAAGATTGTACTGTTGGGGGATATGAAGTACCAAAACATACTATCCTAATGATTAACGCTTGGGCTATCCATAGGGATCCCAAGTTATGGGACGAGCCTGAAAAGTTCAAACCAGAGCGATTTGAGGCAATGGACTTGGGGGAAAAAGAAGGATTCAATTATAAATTTGTACCATTTGGAATGGGGAGAAGAGCATGCCCTGGAGCCACTATGGGCTTGCGCACTGTTTCACTGGTATTGGGTTCTCTGATTCAGTGGTTCGATTGGGAAAGTGTGGAAAAAGAAAAGTTGGACGCGTGCTATAATTCTAGAATCACTTTGAACAAAGATAAACCTTTGGAGGCTGTTTGTATTCCACGACAAAATTGTCGTGGTTTCCTTGCCCAACTATGAGACTATTCGTACAAATTTGTTCCTTTTGTAGGTATGTATAGTGTTTTTTTTGAGCCAAGGGTCAGAAACAGTTTTCCTATCTTTCCACAGTAGAGGTAATATATAAAGTCTGCGTGCACACTTCCCTCCTCATACCCTACTTGTAAGATCTCACTGGGTTTGTTATTGTTGTATGTATGTATGTATAGTGTAAAAATTTACCTTTGTGCTCTAAGGTAATGTGACTAAATAAAGTTGACTATGTAGAACAAGAGACATTAAATAAAGCTTAAGCTATTATTTGGTGAATGTGAACTTAATCTGTGCCTGGATTTTATTTGATATTGTTGCATGTGGAACAGCCGGGACTTGAGCAATGGCAACCCGTAAAATTTGGAGCTTCATACGGTGAAAACGAATAAAATCTCCTTGCTAGTCAGCACAATATATTGTAAGAGCAGAAACTTAAAACTATTAATATCATCATGTGTGTAGATAACGTTAATTAGCATATCTTAGAGATCTAAAAGTCAGCTAATTGATTAAATTAGTTCAAAGTAAGACTCTTTTCCAGCTGCTTAATTAATTAAAGAGCCAGTACAGATTCCTCCGTATGTCCTCTTTCCACTTCTGCATTTTCTTTCATATATTGCTTTACTTATTTTCACAAATATAATCTCTTCTTGAATCTCTCCCATCTTAAATTAGAGAACAAAAAGAGTTAGCACTTTTTATTTTGTGCTAACTTGCCGAGATAAGTAAATTTTATATATAAAGGAGAAGGAAAAACGGTGAAAAATTACAGGTGATAAATCAAACCCTCATCAATAAGGTCAAAATTTAGGTAGCTAACTAAACTAGTAAACTAATAAAATTCCCGAGACAATTAAAATTTAGAAAAGATGTTGCACTCTCAATTGCTTCCCAAAGAAAGAAGCTACTGGAAAGCTAATCGTTTAATGCACAACGTTGAGTGTGTGTTTGACGTCTAAAATAAGAGTCTGCATTTGACGTCACGGCTTACTTCAACTTTACTGACCTTATTATAAAAAACAACCCCAAATTCTAATCTAGAGAAATTAATGCTAAAAGTCAAGCACAGTTTTTTTGTCATCAGCCCGGCCGTGCAACCTTATCAGGCAGTGTGGACAAAAAAATGAAAGTCACTATCATTACTTCTTAGCTGAAAAATCCATGAATATGGAAATAGGCTTCCCATTTTGCACTATTGCCTTTTTTCTCTCCATTTTTTTCGTTCTAAAATTGCAAAATGCAAGAAATAAAAAACTTCCTCCTAGTCCACCATCTCTACCAATTATTGGACATCTCCATCTCCTCAAATCCCCTATCCACAAAACTTTTAAATCGCTTTCATGCAAATATGGTCCCATTATTTTCCTCCGTTTTGGGACTTGTCCAGTTATTGTCATATCTTCTCCTTCAATTGCCGAACAGTGTTTCACAAAAAATGACATTATTTTTGCAAATCGACCAAAATCTCTCGTTACTAAACACCTTGGCTATAACCAGACCACCATTGGATTCTCCCCTCACGGTGACCATTGGCGTAATCTCCGCCGCATTGCTAGTAGTCAAATCTTCTCCACCGTCAGCCTTAACTATTCCTCCGCCGTCCGTACAGAAGAAGTCCGTTACGTGATTAAAAAATTAGTCCTGGATTACAAAGGAGGAATTGCCAAGAAAGTGAACTTGAATTTTTTGTTTGAGAAATTAGTGTACGATGTGTTAACAAAGATGGTCGCAGGTAAACGTTGGAGCGAGTCAACTCATGAAATGTTTGGCCCAACTATGGTTATGACTATTTGTGATTATTTTCCAGTACTTCAGTGGATTGGATTTCAGGGGTTGGAGAAGAATTTGGTTGAGATCAAGAAAACAAGAGATAAATTTCTTCAAACTCTAATCGATGAATGTCGAAAGAGCAGAGCTGATGATTCATCTTTGGTTGAGCAGAAAAAGACAATTATAGACGCTTTGTTATGTTTACAAAAAGCCCAGCCTGAATGTTACACTGATGACATTATCAAGGGTGTCATAATGGTACGTATATTTATTATCATATGGTTTGATCTTTGGGTTTAATATGAATAGTTTGTATATCAGTAGGTTAATTAAGAGCCAGCTACATGTAACAAAAAAAAAAGCTACATGTAACTATAGATTGAGGATTTAACTTAACTTACATAGACTAACAGTGCAAGGAATTTTCATACTATTGCTATATTTTAACATGTTATAACAAATAATTTGCTTTATAATCCTAGTCACTTGTTTCAATTTTTATGACATGGTACTTGCAATTATCATTTAAGTGAAATATACTATTAATGCATAAAACTTAAATTAACTCATGTTATTTTTAGTAAGTGTGAGATGTTAATTTCATATTAATGCATAAAGATGAAATTATATTGATGCCTAAGTTTTTTTATATGTGTACTCATTATTTCAACATTTTTCATGATGTTTCCTAGTTTCATTTTTAAAGGTAATGTTCTCTGCTGGAATACATACTTTATGATTTGATCTTCGGTTTAATTGTTAAAGTGTAAGTTATGTATACTGGCTGGTAAAAAGTATTTAAATAATCATATTATTTATAAGGTAATTATAAGTAAAAAGTATAATCTGATAAAAATGACAATGAGCATTTAAAACGTTTGATGTTCTCTTTCGTTAGTTCAACATTTTGTATGATGTTTCAACATGTTGTTTTTAAAGGTAATGTTCACGGCTGGGACACATACTTCAGCTGTAACAATGGAGTGGGCAATGTCACTGTTATTAAATCATCCAGAGGTAATGAAAAAGGCGAAGCTCGAAATCAACAACCTCGTTGGAGAAAGGCGTTTTTTAGAGGAATCGGACATCCTTAAACTACCCTATTTACGTTGTATAATCAATGAGACATTGAGATTATTTCCTGCTGGACCGCTTTTAGTGCCTCATTTTTCATCACAAGATTCTATAATTGAAGGATACCATATTCCTAAAGGTACAATACTGTTTGTGAATGTTTGGGAAATTCAAAGGGATCCTAAACTTTGGGAAGAACCAAATAAGTTTAAGCCAGAGAGATTTGAAGGAATGGAAGGGGGAATTGAAGGGTGTAAGTTTATACCATTTGGTATGGGGAGAAGGGCTTGTCCTGGTTCTGGCCTTGCTATGAGATTGATTGGGCTTGTTTTGGGCTTGTTTATTCAGTGTTTTGAGTGGCAAAGAGTTGGGCCTGAATATGTGGGCTTAGATGAAAGTTGTGGGCTGATGTTAAACAAGCGAGATCCTTTGGAGGCATTATACAGGCCCAGAGAATCCATGGCCGTATCACTTTCTCAGCTTTGAGAAGAAAACAAAAACGAGAAGGAAAAAAAAGAGGAGGAATTTCTACTGACCTAAAATGAATCTAATCATGGTTTAGTGGTTATACAAATGTGAACTAATTAGTTTGGTAAGCTCAAATTAATATCTTTTTGTTGGTTCGTCATTTAGTTTGTATCCCACACAAAAAAGAAGTTATCTCTCAATTAATGAAAATCAAAGTTAAGTTTCCTCCGTTCACTGAACAACTGATAATTGTTTTTAATACATAGCGATGTTTGATTTATCCAATGATTCCAATCCCAGCTCCCTAGATTGGATGTCATTCAGCTTTTCTTTTCTAATTGGAGAATTCTTTCCTATTAAAATACTTTTGTTTCTTTTTATCATTACCATTGGGTATTCAGGTCATATTTAAATTAAAATAATCTAACCAAATAGCAGTCTCCTGGAATGGAATTTTAAAACAAAGAGTCATGTTTTCTGTCGCTCTTCCGTAGGTTCACTTTTAATTACACAAAAAAAATCGGATGAGTATTTGAGATATCAATATGCTACTCCCCTCATAAAAAACTGAAGATATCTCCCTCAGTTCATAGCTATACGTCTTTTTAGTTGGTTTGGTAAAATATGAAAAATGGTACCAATAGGTCTACTGTTGAATAGTTACTCTACGGAATGGTTTTCTCATAATCATAATCAACATTCACGTTGTCGTCCTCTTTCATTTAAAGCATAGTTATTGGAAAGATGAATGACAAATACTAAAGTTACATTCTAATAATTGTAATTCAATTTACACCACTTAGATATAGAGTTCAGATTTCACCAACTCGTTCTTACTTCTTATTCCTCTTCTCCTTCACATATCCCTCCCCTAAAGGCATAAAAAGAGACCCCACGAAAGTGGGAAGTGATGAATGCCATTCATTCCTAGGTTGTTTATACTATTACATAATGTTGGCTATGATTTGAATTTTGTAGGTTAGAATTCAGTATTCTAACACAACTCATTAGTTTTTATGGGTTCAAAATATAATCAATTATTTATTAATTAGTGAATTTTCTTTTCACATATACAGAGTCCGGCCAAAGTTATGAACTCATAACTTACATTTTACATCTGTCCCTGATCCGAACAGTGATTAAAAAAGCGCATGATGTCTCCTGCAATTTATTGCTAAACCACTTTCATGTTTTTAATTTGCCAAATTTTCCTTTTAAAACTGTTGCTCCCTGTGGGGAGCATTGCCGCAACCTTAGGCGCCTAGCTGCAATAGATATTTTCTATCCTTCTCGCATTGCTATGTTCACTGATACGTGGAAAAAGGAAGTAATGTTACTCCCGTTTGGAACAAGCAATAATTCAGCATTCCCTCATTCCTTCTTAAAACCAGCTGCAACGACCTAATTACCTAATTTCCCTCAAATGTTTCTTTTCCTCTAATTTTTTCTTTGCTTTCATTTGAATGTCAATGACCTGTGCATTAGCGTTTAAACGTACCCGAAATAAACGTTTTCACTTCTTGTACTTGTATATTCTTACCGAATGGTGTATGTGAATTGTGATCATCAACAAAAATTGTATTCCTAATTTGTTCAGCTAATAATTGCGACTATATACACCTGTTTTTCTTTCTATGCAAACAAAATTGTAATGGTATGCTAGAATTTGTGGTGATAATAACATTATCAATATCATCATTAAGGAAATTCGGTCACTATGCAGATGTCAAGACCACTTTCTTTATCTTTTGTTTTTATCTCTCAATATATGACTTATTTTCCATAACATTTTGCTTATTGTTGCATTGACACTGCTTATCATCGAGGCAAGTGCACAAATAACCATTCTCAGGGATGCTATTTAGTGATTAGCCAGTACTAATTTTGTCCTGAAATTTTAAACTAAAAATCTTGATTTCAGGACAACTCGGAATATTTTTGTCCTGAAAATTTGAACTGGAAAATTGAAGTTCAAAATGGCTAAATTCTAAATAGCAACCCTTTAGAGTGGTTACCTGATGTCATTTCTACCTTATCATCCTCAAGTGGTGAAACACCATTTTAGGTCCAACATATTTTGGGCCACTATCGATCGGCCCACAATTAGCCCACGAACCTATCTTCCATGAATTCCACCAAAATCACAGAGACTCGCCTCTTTCCCCGCAAAACATTATTGGTAAATTAATATCGTCTTTAATACTAGCTCCATTAACTCCTCCTTTTTCCTTTTTTTTATTTGTCACAATTTCCAACTTTCAAAATGACCGATAACTTGGACGAGCAACAAAGCTACACAGATAACAACGAGCAACAACAGAAAGTTCCAGAAGACCCAACACAACCCAAAACCCCAACCTCTACCACCACCACAGAACCACCATCAATGGCGGAAACCGATTCAGCTCAAGCCCAAGAAACCGTTACTCACGAGACCCAAAACAAGCCGACGATCGTTTCATTTAGCATTTGGCCACCGACTCAACGCACTCGTGACGCCGTCATTAACCGTCTCATCGAGTCTCTATCAACACCGTCCATACTCTCAAAACGGTACGGCACTGTCCCGCACGATGAGGCTTCCGATATTGCGAAGCTGATTGAGGAGGAGGCTTTTACCGCCGCTGGATCCACGGCTATAGGTGATGACGATGGCATTGAGATACTTCAGGTTTATTCGAAGGAGATCAGTAAACGCATGCTTGACGCCGTTAAGTCCAGATCTGTTCCGTCTGCTGATGATTCTGCCGCTTTAACGGAGACTGAGAGTAAACCGTCGTCGGAGCCTATCTCTGATTCGGCTGACACTGGGGAAAACTCATCCGTTGAAACCGAGTCCTGAAAAATGCACCGAGGTCATGTTTTCTTAAGTATTTGTCTATGTGGTGAGGAAATTTCTAGGGTTCCGCTAATTCTACTATTTACGATCTGCATTTTACCTTGAGATCATCTTTATGCTGTCTATGGATTATTAAGCTTGTTAAATGTAATGTTAGATATCTTGGAAATTGCTATCTAAAGGTGGTTGATGGATAAAGTTTGGATTTTGAGATTACTTTGTTTATATTTCCTTTTAATGCCTTTTGATGTGCATACTATTGACGGTTTCTGCTTATATATTAATGCCTTTTGTTATTGTGTACTTCATTTTTATATGTTTCATACTAGTTCATTTCGTCATTTTTGGTCTCCTGTCGGTGGTGCTAAGACCTTCGTATCTTTAGAAATCCTCGGTAGGTGGACTGTGTGAACTCTCGGTTTTATGTTAAGTTTCTTGCAGACTAAATGTATATGAAATTGCTAACTGCTGATGAAGAGATAGTAAGTCTATGAGAAATGATAGGAAACATATGTAAATGGTGCAACCAAAAGAAAGACTTGAAGTTTTCCGATAGTGAATTTCCTTTTACTCAGGGGTATATTGTCTGATAGCAACATAGGGACAGAGTGAACATTTTGTTGGTTACAATAAAGTCATTCCCTCTATATCTAGGTATGAAGTCCGTATATAGTTCTAGATCTATCTATCTATCGGAAATGATATCTAGAAATTGATGTTAGTTTGGTTTCAAGATCTATGAACAAGAGAAATTACTAAATATCCATTCAAGAAATTAGATGAATACAGAGGACAAAGCTAGCTGAAGAAATCGCTAGATGTCCTCTCGAAGCAGTAGATTCTGGAGATGATAAGACAATGAAACATTCTCTCTTTGGAGAATTCTGTTGTTTCAATTATAGAAAGTGAGTTATCAGTAGCTTTTTGTTTATTAGTATTTACTTTATAGGTAGAGTGTGGGAGCCTAGACATGCGTTTTTTCCTTTTATGAGGCTGGTATGACTTGTTTGCTTCCCTGTACTTCGGTACATGTTGAGGTCCAATTATGAAGGTGAAAGGATACCTCTATTCTGAATTGGTATGGGACGCAATCTATATTCATTTTTTAACTCCATGCACGTTCTAGAGTCTTAAAAATTTCGGGACCCAGAAAACTTGCTTTGGATAAACTCCAGATTGTCACAAGGAGTAGTTGCGAGAGCAATGGTGGTAGTTTGGGTCCTCCTTATTGGAGTTTCATTTATCTTTTTATCTAGGATTATTGCATTGTGTGGCTTCAAATTTTATCATGAAGCTCAATATTTTGGATGAGTTAGTGCCAAAGAATTATTACTCCCTCCGGTCCACAATAAGTGACCAATTTGCTTTTTCATTTTGGTCCAAAATAAGTGTCCATTTATGTAATCAAGAAAAAATTCAATTTGTTTTTACTCTTTTACCCTCCCTAAAAAGTTTTCTTACTCACATTAAATCCACTATAACTATGTGACCAATATTTAATTAAGAGTAGTTTAGTCATACTAGGTATTTTTGTATAGAATTTAGTATTTTCTTAATGGGCGTGCCTAAAGCAAACTGGTCATTTATTGTGGACCGGAGGGAGTATGCGAAAGCATATACTCTAATACGGATTTCAGTTCACGGAACTTGTTACGAGGAGCCTATGAGAATGAAAGGTAGTGGTTGTTCGTTTTCAGTGTAACTTTAAATCTCATTGGATGGGTCTTTCAGTTTTATCTGTTTCATAGCTTTTTGAATCTTAATTTTCTGCGTATCTTGGTAGTAGTGCTTTGACCAGCATGAATTGTAGAGAACTTTGCTGAGAAGTAGAAGGCTTCTTGCTTATTAAATCGTTTAACCCAGACTAACATAGCTAATCCTTGATAATTATTAGGATGGTGTCTGTTATAGATTACAGCAAATAGCTCAAATTCATGAGTAATAATGCCAAACAAGCAATAATAACCTTTAGCATGCTATGCTGCTTTTGTATGGATGTGACTTGTATACGGTTATGGCCTTGATTAATCGAAAGAAAACTCTTTCTTAGAATTTGGGCTAGAATTCTGAGAAGTATCATGTCAAACAATAAGTGCAGCGTGCATCTATAATTGTAAGGAAGCAAAACAACCTAGTCTTGCTTTGAATCCACAATTTTGAATAAATACAGGTCATTCTATAACATAAAAGGGAAAAGAACCTTTTCGGAAAAAAGAGAGGGAAAAGAGCAATAACACAAAGAAACACCCATTTATATTGGGTGCAATTCTATTGAAAGTTATAAGATACATTCCTAGAGCTTAATATATTCATGTACAAATGTCAAATGGACATCCATTTAATTGAATGCATTGAATTTCTAGCACAAAGAATATGCCTCGTTAAAACCTTATTA